AGTCAAAGTTTTATTGACTAAGTGGGCACTTGAAGTACCTAGGTACTTCTTAGGTTTCTATTAACTATATAGATGCGCTATACTATGATTAGATCGTATCTGTCATGAATATAATAGAATAATTATTTATTTGCTCAGAATGCAGGTATTTACAATAAGGTGATATTAAAACAAAAACAAGGTAGATTGGTATGGTATATTCCTATGGAGAAGAACGAGCAAGTAACTCCATAAGTTACTCTTTTTCAATCAGGTTCACAATACAGTTCTCTAGTTACATAGTTTTATTGATTCGAAATTCAAAATCCAGTCAAAGAGATCGAAAAATAAAATAACCTTAAGGGCAATAAATAATGCAGTCTGGAGCTGACCAGTCCCAGTTGACGGCGCCCGTTCACAAACATGACACGTACACTAGCACCGCCCAACCCCAATATTGTAGGGAATCGAACGATCCAATACACGTGCTACCGCCAATGAGATCTTTGAGTGAGCCAATAGCTTCACTTTTAATTTTTTTGCTGCCAAGCTGACACAAATGCATTCTACTAGTCTAATTTAATATTAAGTTAACAGTTCCCAGGTCTCTCACATTTACAATGATTATGCAAGTTAAACAATATACATTTAAGTAACAAGGACGTAATATTTACATGTTTGGATTTCATTGAAACATCAATGTTTTTGTGTGTTACACACAAACAGTAATAAATAACATATAAAGTTTTTTTTATACATAGTTTAAATTTCGTTTCATTTACATGGTATCTTGTAACATTTAACACAGAATCCCATGAACGACTTACTTACTTTCGCCAATCTCAAAGTTGACTGACTTAATCTATCCTATCGCGCCAGCATTAACGACATTATCCGTCGAGCTCTTGTCATCGCCGGTGTGCCAGCTGTTCTGGAACCGAAGGGTTTGGCACGCGACGATGGTAAGAGACCCGACGGTATGTCCATTATGCCCTGGAAGCTGGGAAGGTCTTTGGTGTGGGACGCAACCTGCGTCGACACCCTCGCACCTTCTCATCTTCCAGTAACGGCGGGTTGTGCCGGTTCGGCTGCTGCCTCTGCAGAAAACCTCAAGCGGCGCAAGTATAACAACCTTGCTTGCTGGTAGTTATATCTTTGAGCCGTTTAGGGTTGAGACGCTAGGTTCGTGGGGTCCGAGTGCGCTTAAATTATTCAAAAAACATTTCAAAACGCCTGGTTGACACATCTCGTGACCAGAGGGCTGGTCTTTTTCTCGGTCAGAGGTTAAGCATTGCCATACAACGTGGCAATGCTGCCAGCCTTCTGGGTACTTTCTCCACTGACGTCGATGCGGACGAATTTTTCGATGCTTTATGTAAATAATTGTTTTTGTTTTTTTTTTAAATAATTTTAATCCTAAGTTGCATATATTTTATTATTAATATTTTTTTTTTAAAAAACTATATATCCTTATGTCTAGTTTGATAGTGGTGTCTGCCGGACACTTTACCAAATAACTGTAGGATTTTCCTAACATACATGATGTTTGCATAAATGAATTGATATGGTACGGTCATACTGCTGACTGCCTCGTTGGCCGAGTGGTCGCAAGTGTATTGTAAGTACAGTGGCATAACGCTGCCTACCCCTTCGGAGATGAAAGGCGTGATGTTATATTATGTTTTGTGGCACGGTCATAATGTGGCCCTTAAACTTTTCTCTAACAGATTCGCGACGCCCTAGGTTGTACATAGTTCTGGCGGCGCGCTTTTGTAAGATAAATATAGACTTGTTGTACGCAGCTTCTTCCCACAGCAGAATGCCATACGACATAAGGCTATGAAAGTAACTGAAGAACACTAGTCTTGACGTGCCTATGTCCGTCAACTGTAGTCATCTTCCAGACAGCATAAGCTCCAGAGCTCAATCGTCCCGCTAAAGATATAATGTGTAAAGATGTAACACACATACACACACACACACACACATACACACACACATTCATTGCTTTTAACGTTTGGCAAAACAAATCTAATGCATTTTGTCTTTTAATCGTTTAGTACTAAGTTATTTAATGTAAACCAATGTTGAACGTCCATTAGGGCATAATTTACATTGTCATAATTATTTGTCCGTCTGTTTATTTTAAAAACGAATGAAGTGTCATCAGCAAATATCAGCATTTTTAAATAAATGGGGCATGCCATTTATGTATGCTGAAAATAAGAATGGACCAAATATTGAGCCTGTGGTACCCCAATTTTTTTTTTTTTAAGGGGGGAAAATCATCGAATGACTGCTCCCGCCTGGGTGAGGCGGGAGGGAGTGTCAGACTCTTACTGACTAAAAACCACCCCGTTCCTTCTCCTGCACGTCGAGCCGGAGCCCCGGTTACCCGTTAGGTTCTCCGCGACTCCGAATCGGCATCGGCCCTATTGGGCCCCATCTGTGGTGGTCTGATGGCTCTTTGAGGCGCGCGCGGAACGCGACGCGCCGTACGCTCGGGTCTGTTTCTGGTCGGACGGGGAGCCACCCATGCTCGCCGTCCGCAGGCCCGCGCTTACGGTGGCCGGAGATCGTCCCGCGATCCCCGACGCCCGGTGTGTCCTTCGCGATGGCTGGGTTGCGAGGAGGCAGCGCTTCGCTGCCTCACGCGTCCCGCCTCCTCCTTAGCTAGCATAACTGCTTCGCAAAAGGAGGAGACGGCATCCCAGTCCCCCTCGCTCCGCATCATGGCCTGCACTAGGCCCGGACGCGAGAGCTCGCCATCGCCGATTACTTCTCTGAGGGCACGGCGGTGCACCGCCCACGCAGGGCATTCTCCCACTGTGTGTTCCACCGTGTCCTCAGGGCGGTCCTCGCAGTGATGACACCTGGGCGTTTCCTCCCGCCCCATCAGACACAAGTACCTCCCGAAACTTCCATGTCCGGTGAGGACCTGCGTCAGGCGGTAGGTGAGGACGCCGTAGCGTCTCTCAAGCTACTCCTCTACCGCTGCAATGGCAGCGAGCCCAGCCCTCGATTGCGACAGTCGTTGCTGCCATTTCGTCATGAGATCGCGCCGGAGCTCATCCCGCCACGCACTTATCTGGCGCGGCAGTGGAGTTTCGCCCCAGCGACGTGCCTCCGCGCTCATGATCGCGCGCGAGCGCCTTCGCCTCCAGATCCCACGGCGGTAATCCGGCAAGGAGGTTCGCCGACTCCCCGGAGATCGTGCGGTGTCCGCGGATCATTCGGATCGCCATGACCCTCAGTGACATGAGCAGCGTCCGAGCGGGACACCGCAGCATGTTCGGCGCCCACATAGGGGCGCCGTAGAGGGCCATGGACCGCACGGCCTCGGCGTATACGCCAATCACCTCCTCCAAGACTTCTGGCCGAAGACTCTGAGTGAGCGAGGGAGCCCAAGCGCGGAGCTTGTCGCGTACCATCCGGTACGAACGTCCCCACGGATCTCTGTTCAGAGTCCCCAGCATATTTCGGCGGGCCTCCTCCTTGGCCCGCAATATCTCCTTATTACTAAGTCTTTTATTACTTTCAGGAAGTGTAGAGAAATCAAACATATAAATCATGATGTAAACATTGATTTATTTATTCAAACTAAATTAACAAACAATTGTGATCAAAGTACATATTGGAATGTGATAAAGTAAAATTAATATACACCATTATTCGAACATTACATTTATTTCATTGTCGTAGGATTTTTATTTTTATACAAAAGTAAAGCCACTGATGCGGCAACAAAACACATCTCAAGGAAATAAAACCCTGCAAAGAGATTCTATATAACTAAATATTTACACATTCTTCAAACATACAAACTCGTGTAACAATTTGTACCCTTACACATAACTCTAGATATTTACAGACAGGCTAATCATATATTTATACTTACTACATGATATACAG